ACCATCAAGATGGGTATTTGATTAAGACGTTCCCGCTATGTTTGCTTATTTATAAAAAAAAAACACGACAGAGCTAGACCGGGCTAGGAAAACTCTGATAAAAAGTCAATAATGTGTAGTAGTTTTGTGAAAAGATAAACTGTAAAGCACGTAGTCGACTGCCGAGGCTTTTTACCAATGGCAAAAGAATAAAATCAGGAAGAAAGCATTTCACTGTACGGAAAAGTCTGTCGAATCCATGCGTTTGATCCATACGGCACTGTTAGCACTGAAATCCAATCGCGTTGTTACATCACTCCGAAGTTGGCCGCACTAAGCCTCGTAAAACACGCTCAGTAACACTAATCCCAGTGGCCCGATCACTTGTAACTTCACGATATCTCGCGCAGTTCTCCTTCCACTTGATTTTTCACTCGGCACCCACCTTCATGGCTGCAGGCTGGAGGGTGGTTCAGTGGTAATGGAGCGGAGAGCGATCAGCGACTGTGACCTCAGCAGCAGCGCTGGCCTTTTATATCAGCTGGAAAGGATGGTCCTTCACCGACCCGGTGCAAGAGTGGCTGCAAGTGCAGGCTAAGACCCGCCTTCCCACACTGGGCCCGCCCACTGTCCGTCTCAAGCACACACAGGCCACAGCCCCGAGTCTGACGCCGAGAGCAACTAACCCCTGGCCTGACATGCAAATGCCAAGTTAATCGGGTATAAATGTAAACTGAGGTAGAACAAAAAAAAAGTTGAAATGGAGTAAGTATATATCTCTCATATTTTACAATTGGAGCCATTCGGGCAAATTTCCTTATAATTTGTCATGGCCTCTAGATAACCTCAAGTCAACCGAATCTGAAAAACCGGGTTCCACGTGATAGCACTCTGTGAGCTGAAGATACCTACCCTGCAAGTTTGAATCAAATTGATGCACAGCGATTTCATGACAAAATAGTTTTGTTTTAGTGCCATCTTGACCCAGTGCACCGGTTTTTGTGAATTGGTGACCCGGACCTGAGAACACTGGAACACAAAACTCCTAGGACAAGTGTCAAATGAATGCCAAAAATTTTGTCTGAAATTTGGTGGCGCTAGGTGCAACGGCACTCTCGCCCAAGGACAGAGCCCCGCTAAGCAAAGCTTGTTGCGTAGCCCCTATCCAGCGCCGAGTGTTGCGAAAAATGCATCATACCTACATTAGGCCATACATTGTACAAGGCACTTCAGGGCCAAAAGTTAGTGATGTTCATAAGTTCTCAATGTAAAAGGCCTTGTCCATTTCCACAGTGAATGAAGTTTACATTCAAAACGAGCGAGTCTAGAACAAAAAATCATGATTGGGTGTGATAAGGTGGGAATAGACGCCTCATCGAACTTAACCTTAGTGACGCGTGCCCACGCCGTTTAAGTATCAAACATCTAAAAAGTCCTTTATCTCCAGCAATGCCAGATAGCTTATCTGATGCATCGTTTGGCAGCTTCAATGCAACAATACTTCCGCAATACGTGGCCTTAATATTGATCAGACAAGCAAGTAGTTCGAATGACGGCATTGAAGCGAACTTAAAGCTATGTGCCACGGTTTAGTGTTTAGGGTGATAAAGTAGAAAAACCTGATTGGTTGACAGTTTTATATCAATTGACCTAAGGAGAAAACATACATGTCAATGGATGTTTAAACGTTCGATAAATGTAAGCTTTCATATACGTAAGTCGAAAGGTTGGCCTATGGTAGGTACAACACACCTTGCTCTCCGATAACAAAGACTTTTTGGTCAAGTGTGCTTGGGTGAAGGAACGGATTGAGAGAAAGAAGCCCAACTTATCTACTTGAAAACGAAACACAATTATAAAATGGAAACACTTCAGGATCGGTGACCAACGATACTCGTTCAGTCCCCTCGTCTAGGTCACGATCATGACAAGCAAAGAAACGTATGTAACACGGTAGATATAATATTTCTTTAGCGATCTCTCGCAAAGCTATTGTAGACAACTGTCACTTTTTATGAAATTAGAAACATTAACCACTGAAGTCATACAAATCATGATTTAATGGCAAAAAACATCAGTGGAAACACGATTAACTACGATTAAACACGACATTGCCATGTCACATGTTATACGGCATTGTTCGTATAACGTGTGAAATGGGCTACTCATTTTGCAATTTGCATGTTAAACAGAAACCATCAATAAATTTAGCAGAAAACTGTCAAATGCCACTGCATGCAGGACTCGTGCAGTGCTAAATAAACGCCGGCACGGCCAGGCAAAAGGGACACAATCGACCTTCCATATCTTTCGCTACAATGATCTTGCCCGATCAGTTGATCTTTGTCACGCGGCAGACAGCCTGAGTACCTCCCAGACGCAGATCTCAGACCGTTACATGGTTCCGACTCTGATCACTGGTAAAATCAGCCCGCGACGAATTCCACTCACAGAGGCAATTTTCCTTGATGTGCTATCATAAATGAACGTGTGGATAAGGCCTGAGAACTCACACACACACACTGCTAACTAGATATATAGATGATGAATGGAACTGCCGACTTCCGTATCATGCATAAGTGCCTTTGTCCCGAGCGCACGGCTATTATTTCTTACCTCCTAAACCAAATGCACGCATAATGGTACGAGAATATCTAAAAGAGAAACTTTATCTTTAATACTTAAAACATAGGTTTTCATCTCTCGTTTCTTTGTCAACAAAATTTCATGGGCAATCAGAAGTGTGAGCTCAGTATGACCTTCCAGCCACTTGATATAGGTTATATAGTCGACTGCAGAATGATGTTTGACTCCTCAGAAGCTATCAGTTGACCGGAGCGCTAAGTTGTGCCGTTTATCACGCAATTTAGCGTGTCGATTGTGAGCATTGGAACAAAGCTATAATTTGTGTACTCAGCCCGTGTGATGCGGCACAGCCTACCACTCCAGGCAAATGTGGAACATCATTCTGTAGTCGACTTTATGTACTTCAGGCCCTTGGGCTCTATTTAGGTATATATAAAATCTTGCCCTTCACAGCGCTTGTATGCGCTTGAGTAGGTACCTAGGCATTCAGTTCTTAGTTGCCGATACGTAAGGCACTACATGTGCCTTTCGTGGGAAGACAAAAGTCCAGCCCCAACCCGGCATGGGTTGCATCAGTCCCCAACTGAGGCAGTTATGAAGAGTTATCTTACTGAGGAGTAATGTAATCTTGTCTAAAGATAGTCTTATGGATTATTAAAGAGTAGTTGGAAAGTAAAGACACTTGAGACGGAAAACTGACTCATCACATAATACGTTTGGCCATTTTTGTCAAATGTTGAATATTGGTAGAGACTTTGCGTCCTGGAAATTGGAATAACTAAAAATATAAGTGCAATCGTATCGCATTCATATAACCAGTAAAACGCCTTTTGGGCGAAGAACGAGCGAGCGAGATAGTGAGCCCGGCACGTGCGGAAGGGCGAGAGGGTACTTCCAACGGGCTTGTGCAAAGCACCCTTCTAACCGGTCGCTAGCGGTGTGCCAAATTTGAACGCAATCGGCCGTTCCTGAGATCTGGAAGCGGCATTCTGCACGTGCGCACGTGCAAACGGGGTCCAAAATGACTTTTGCACGGCACCCTACTAACCGGTCCCCAACCGTGTACCAAATTTGAGCGCAATCGGCCCAGCCGTTCTCGAGATCTGGAAACGCCCCCTGCACGTGCGCACGTGCAGTAGCACCCTAACCGCAACACATGGGAATGCATTGCCTGGTGGGTGCCTACCTGTATGCCAAGTTTCAGCGAAATCGCCCCAGTAATTACCGAGTTACTGAAATGGGAACAAATTTGGCACCTCTTATTGTTGTATTTTGCACGTGCACTGGGGGTGACCCACATGCATCGAGAGTATCCTATTTTGGGTAGAAGGGATGCTGCTGCCCTACAAAATTTACCGCAAGTCAATCGCCCAAGCGGCTGCTGAGATATGAGCCTCTCAAAATCACTACTTTTGCAAAACAGCTTGAACACCCTTGACTTTTCACGTGGCACGTGCCACGACGGTCACTGAGATGTATCAAAAGTAGTCAATTACGGGGTAGAAGGGATGGGGCTACCCAACAAAAAGGACCGCAGGCCAATCCGGCCAGCGGTTGCTGAGATATAAGCCTCTCAAAAGCGTTACAGGCCGGGCCGGGCCGGGCCGGGCCGCTCATACTGAGATTTTTCCGTTATATTGAAAAGACTCACTTCGCTCGCTGCGCTCGCTCGCTCGTAATAAGAAAATTACCACCATAAAGTGTGATAGGCTCAGCTATGGAACAAAAAACAAAGACTGGTAATTCACCCACTGCATCGCAACAAAAGAGTGACAAATCGCGGAAACCTGTAAGCTTTGTGTAGTTGTTATGTGCAGTGGCATCGCACGACAGGATACCAATATTTCATTTTGCATTGAAATTCTTTTGGGCCGCTTACTGATTTTCTATGATTGTGGATGCAGCATTGACACGCTACGCTACTACATATCTGAGAACTTCGTCGTTAAAACAAAGTTTTCGTCACTATAATAGACTTCATAGTTCATGACTACAACCGCGCATTGCTTCATCACTCGCTCAATACTAAGAAATGTGACGATAAAACACCCGAAAATAACAAGCTGCAATAGCACACAAGTATTCCAACACACCTTTTAGCAACAGGGTGGTATGCTAGTGTTCGCCAAATAAGTCACGGTCTTACAGCGATCGAAGTTTTGATAATCTCTCGACGTGTCGGAAATGGTCCAAACTATCCTTGTTCCGCACCGGCACTCTTGGGAGAACAACTAGCCCACGTTTTACGCTGAATGTCCGTTACAGCCGGCCGCCACACGGATTCCACGCAGAATTTGGCGATAGTTTTCCTTGATGGGGTCCCATGGGCGACGAGGGGTGGAGCTAGTTAAGGGTGGTGACTGGTGACGATATAAAATCACTGAGATCACTGACGCAGCATCAGTTGGCTCTGGACCTTCACACCACACACCAGGATGAAGGTAAGCTGGCATACCATTGCATATTGAGGTTCGAAGTAGAAGTAAGAGATTCCATGTTCATGTACCTTAATGTTAAGCTTACAGAGAAAATGAGCATCTGCTTCAATTTTTTTTTAGATTTTTTTTCTTCGACGTTTAGAACTTTGATTTAGAGAAGTCCTTAAAGTGTTCTATTTTTTCAAAAATCTTGTCAGATCCCACAACAATTTTCATGAAAATGGCATCTCAGCAGAAGGACTAAACAAATGACGCATCGTAACTGTTTTGCATTGAGTTTTATGCGTGGATGTTTGGCAGTGTATTCAAGACCCTAAATAAACGCAAACATAATTCCTCTCTCTCTCTCTTTCCCTCTCCCTCCCTCTCTCTCCTTCTCTCTCTCTCTCTCTCTCTCTCTCTCTCTCTCTCTCTCTCTCTCTCTCTCTCTCTCTCTCTCTCTCTCTCTCTCTCTCCCTCTCGCTCTCCCTCTCGCTCTCTCTCCATTTACCATTTCTTCTTTCCGCAGCTGATCGTTCTCTGCGCCGTGCTGGCCGTGGCCTGTGGCAAGAGCTACCCCAAGAGTGACATCAAGACGCCCTCCAAGACCTACGGAACTCCCAATAAGGATGCCGAGCTTGTCAAGAAAGCTGGCAGCGTCGCAGGACTCGCTGGAGGCCCTGCCGCCAAGCTCACCCTCGGGCGTCGGTCCCAAGGACTTGTCAGCAACCAACTCGGAGGGTTCAACGCCTTTGGAGGAAGATTCAACTCCTTCGGTGGCCTGAACTCGTACGGTGGATCCTACAACCCGTACTTTAACGGATTCCCCGGTCCGTATTACGGCCCGTACTATAACGGATACGGGGGAGTCGAAGGTCTGCCGTTCTCTCAGCTGTTCGGTTATGGCCCGTACGGGCAGGTTTACGGAAACTTCAACCAGAGGTTCGGAGGACGGTACGGATACTATGATAACTACAACTACGGGTTCCCCCTGAACCTTGGATACGGAAATGGATACAACAACTTCCTTCCGTACAATGGATATTTTTAAAATTGAGCTTAAAGTCTGCGGTCATTTTTAGCTGAAACCACTAGGTAAGGTTTCAGCGTATTGCCAATTGGAAGCTCGCTGGCAAAAATGTGGATCAGGTTCATCATTTACAGATGCATGAATCCAATCGGCGAATTTTGCGCTAACTACTTGACCAGCGATGACAAGAAATCGACAAGAGTTAGAAAAACGGATACTTCACATATGCTGCTACATCAAAAGCAGTGCTGCATGATGATTTACATTTTGCAGGATAGCCTGTCGAGATTGGCCCACATAATGTCCTGTCATTCATCCAAATGAAGGAACTGTTGCCACTGCCTGCTCACTTTTATTCATTCGTGCGTATGAGACACCAAGAGCGTGCGTACATGTGCCATTTAAGAGGATTCAAAATAGTTAATGCATGTTTCCCGTTATTTGTATGTGCCACTGTCCGTGTCCTGTTCAGTCAATAAGCATGTCATCGTCCAGATAAACGTGTTTTGTCTTTTGTGTGTGAGAAACACAGCGAAATAAATCCACCATCGCAGGGAAATGCATTATTTGGTCGCTAAGTGTGGTAAACTGATAGGCGTTAACATAAAATCGGATAATGGATACATATCGAGACTGTTGTCCCATTTGTTCGATAAACGTAGGATCAAGCCGTCACAAAGTTTCTTATTCCAAAACGTACGTTATATCCAACTGATACCTATGCAATGCATCAAACGCACCAAGATAGTCCCTGGTTGGTCTGAGATGGTCATTGATCGCCGTCGACATGCTAGATTCTCGGTCATTCATAGATTCCAGTTGATAAGTCTCAGGAGGGAAGCAGATCAAACGCAAATCTTCATTGCATAGCTCCTGTCACCGGGTTTCCACATTTCCACATTTTCGAACAAACAAAACACTAAACGTCATTTCAGGATGTAATGCCTCGAAACGTGTTCAAATAACACTATATACAGTGGCTCACAGTTTCAAACACTCACAAAACTCTCAGAACCTGAATGAATCTATATCACCTCCCTCCGGGTTTGTAAAACCGCCCACACCTGGAATGATAGTATCCGGAGGAGTTGTGAACCCTCTCAACGGAATATCACCAGGTGGAGGGTTAATAAATCCTCCAAAAGGAATAATGCTGCTATCCGGGGGTGTTGTAAAGCCAGTCACTACGCTCCTGTAGCCACTGTTGACGAGGTAGGAACTACAGATCCCTCCGGCGCAGGGGCCGTGCTCGGTGCCGTAGTCTACTTCAGAGTTGTGGGTAGAGACTTCACCGCGGCGGAGATGAACGCGAGATACGCCGGATGCAAACGCCGACGCTGCCAGACAGAGTAGGATTACAAGCTGTGGAGAGAGAGAGAGAGAGAGAGAGAGAGAGAGAGAGAGAGAGAGAGAGAGAGAGAGAGAGAGAGAGAGAGAGAGAGAGAGAGAGAGAGAGGAGAGAGAGAGAGAGAGAGAGAGAGAGAGAGAGAGAGAAATGGGGTCAGTCTTTGGTGAGGTTAGATATGAGGTCTGCTGCGCCAGAATCACTCTAAAATAACTTTTATCACTCTAATCCCTTAGATAGTGCACTCGCCTTGTATTCCTTCATTGCCGCCGACGCAAAACGAGTCGCACAAAGTTTAACAGTCAGCCAAACCAAAACAACAGCCCAGTCCAACAGTCCAGTCGTCTAGCAACACGCCCACACGCCCTCTGCTTCCGTGCTTCCAAATAGCTTACCGCTAAATCACTCAAAATGCGTCATACCTAGCACATGACAGAGCTCACCTTCATCCTTCTAAAACAGAGACAAAATTGACAGAATAGTGCAGGTGCTCTTAAATAAGACGCTGAAATGCGCTGAGTTGGTGTGCAGGAGCACTTTGACCGAAGCTTTGTGCATGACAGCCCAGTGCAGATCAATGACATCCAGCTTTTGCTGTTTTTTACCGAACAATGATCGTGCACTGAGTCAGATCACGATCTTTATCTCTTTGAAGGATCTTGTCTAACGCTTGACTGGCCTACCTATTTTTGGATGCTTTAGCAGCCTTTGCGGAAATCAAAAGATTGATATCAGATAATAAAATGATCGCGCGAGGTTTCCTTATAACAACAAGTTTGACTGCCCTCCCTCAAAGCCAGAAAGGTAGTTTTTAATTGAATAAAGTATGCGAAGCACCCTGATATGGGACTAACGACCGGAATGTCATAGGATCGTTTTACGTAGAAAAAATTCATTGGTCACCAAAACCCATTTTCATATTTCATTACACCCAATCGTATATAGTTTCAAAGAAACTATATACGAATGACAATTCTCTGTCTGGTGAACTATTGCCGTCCAAAGTTTATTGTACTTGTTGGTAAGATGATGGGGCTGCGGTAGATCAGACCAAGTTATGCGCGTCATATTTATTGAATAACACAAGAATCGTGCACACCAAATGTATTGTTCGACTTCATCATGGCATCGGAAACATCAAATGTTGCACATAACACTACGCACATATGCATTAATGATAGCCCATTCCACCAATGTCGCGATGGTTCATGCCTGAATCCATTTCCATGACTAATTGCATGAACTACCACGTATGGGCTGTGGCAGCGCCCAGTTTGAAAGCCTCCGCTGTTTTGAATCCACGGTAAGCTCCAGAACTGAAGCTGAGTCCTTGCCCAGTCTGGTATCTCTGTGCTTGACCCACACCAAGTCCTAGTTGGTGGCCAGCACCAAGACCAAGGCTGTGACTTGCTCCGAGGGTAGTCCCGTAAACTGATCCTGGAATAATGCTCGACACATGATCAAGCCTGTGACCCTGCCCTATACCAAACCCGTGACCATAGTTGTAGCTCGGTCCAGAGCCAATGCCGTGGCTCGTTACAAGACCAATCCCGTGGCTCGTTCCAAGACCCAGATCATGACCCGTGCCAAGACCGATACCGTGACCTGCACCAAGACCTATTCCGTGACCTGTTACAACACCAATCCCGTGACCCGTTCCCAGGCCACCAGTAAGACCTGCGCCCAGTGCTCGCGAGGGCAGGTCATTCGTAAATCCGCTGTTGACGACGTAGGAGCGACAGGCCCCTCCGATGCACGGGCCGTGCTCGGTACCGTATTCCACGTTGGCGTTGTGAACAGCGGGTACACCCTGCCACCGCTCCCGGCGATTGATTCGGACCTGCGAGAGCCCGGCAGTCGCCGCCACCAGACACATCAGTACCAGAAACTGTGAAAAAATGGGGGATTGTTGGTCAGCAGGGCAACGGAAAGGGTTAGTTTGATGGCAAGGGTTTAATGCTGCTTGAAAATGCGCCAAAAAGTAAGCTTGATTATGCAAGGTCATACTTTTAAACTTTGCTTTGCTCGGACGGAAACTTTGCTCTATACTTTTCATTTTTAGTTTTTACTTTCTGTTTACTACTTTCAGTAAGACTGACGTTATACGTTTAGTAGGTAAGCGAGTACAAGTTTATTCAAAAAAGTAGTCTTTGGGAGTTGTTACCTTCATTGTAAGCTGAGATACTGATCGGTAATCAATGATGCTGACTTTGAATGAACACTCTCTTTAAATATGTTGCTGCCTTTAAACGAGTTAAGTTAGGTAATCATATGCGCGTGCAAGTTTTCCTCAAATGTCGATCATAGCTCAATACCCGTCCCCAGATTTCTCTCGCATGTTTGAGTAGAGTTTGCATGTGATTACGAAGAAAGCAGGCCGTAGCACAGAGCAGCTCTGAGCAGCGAGTCTATACCAGAAGCCAATTGCTACGGTGAAAAGAAAAAGTTACATGTGCGCAATTAAGACAAGGAGGGCGCCATCTGCAAGATGACGTTGGGTAGAGATGTGTACAGTTGTTGCTGCATGTTCACATAGAGTTTCCTGTCATTAATGGACTTATGAAATATCTTGATGTTCTTTGTGAACACGAAACACGATTTCGGCCTGATTAATTGATAAATCGGATATCTGTTAATAAACTGTTGGCTTGGCATTGATAGCTAAATATTTATTCGGGCGACCAGTCAAAACGGATATAGAGGGGTGGGTTGTGTCAGTCTACATGGGTAGACGGCAACCGTTCGGTACTGGATACTGCACCAACACTTCTCATTTCTCGATAAAATACTTAATGATAACATGAATTTAAATGGTCTCTTTCTCCCTTTCTCCCCCCTCTCTCCCTCTCATCCTGTCTCCCCACTTCTATTTCTCTCTCCCTTCCTTCCTCCCTCTTTCTTTCGCCTCACCTCATTTTGACACACATTACACAACGTAATATCTGGCTCACTCGAAGCACCCTGCAGTTAGTTTACCGTCCCGTGACGGCTACTCCAGCGCAGCAGTTGGCGCAGCCAGTGACCTTCGGGAGCCAGATGAAGTTCTCACGCAGCTTGCAGATCGAGTGCACGCTATTGCAGGTCGCAGTGAACACCATGTATCGATTGCTGATCTAAGAAGTGATAAGTCAGCTTCCAGAAATCCGATAGAAGTGGAAGCTGCATGTCAGCAAACGAGGTGATGCTGTCAAGAATACGCCTGGAAAAGCAGAAACACACATGTTAGTTGTTGAACAAAGGTCACTTCCGTCTGATTATGTTATATCTGTGCCATTGTCATTTTAATCCTATTATTCATCATTTCAGTTTATTTTGGAATGAAAAAACATATAGATTATCGTCATAGTTGTCAGGAAGTACATTATTATAGACTTCATCTCTTGTTGTAATCATAGCATGTTTAGATAGCGATATGCTGGATTTCACACTAGTAGCTTTTGATTAGCAAGAGCAATGGGGCAAAGTCAACCTGACCTGACATAATTGAATATTTAGAATTGAATGTATGTTTTTATTTATCAGCATTTAGGGTCACATTGCATTTTTTTTGCATACCCTTCTCGCATTATCTTTTATGTGAAATGGCACGAGAAATATAAGCTTATTTATGAGGGATGCCAAGCTACCCGATTTATCACCTGTGAAAAGTAAACGCTTGACAGTGGACAGGCCACCGAGGCCGTCCAACGTCCATGCGCGCCTGTGAGTCCGTTTAAAACCACTTCTACGTTCGCTTTTTCTCCCTGACGAAATATTTTTTTGGGTGCCATTTCAGCAAGGGGTAGCACACTTACCGCGCACACTGAGTACCTATAAGATTTCGGGCGAACGCCTAGTATTAATTTAGCGCTCATAAATACACTGAACGCCCTGAAATGATGGTCAAGCAACGACTGTAGCTTCGCCAGTCCGAGCGAAACTGATTTATATTTACTAATTTTCATTTATGCCTGCGTTTATTTATGCGTCACTAGCATGAAAGCATTGTCAGCGGAAATTAAACAAGATGGCAGTCAAGCGGCAGTGAGGTCGATGCGACGTTTCCATTGGTGAATGCATAAAAAAACGAGGGCCATCTCCATGGAAAATTCGTCAACGCCAATGCCGGGCAGTCACTATCGCCAATTCTATTCCCTCTTGGGAGGGGTCAAAGACACACCTCTTCTCTGTTGCTGGTGAGCTAGATGTAAGAATGATGCCGAGTTTCATGCGAGTTATAAGTTCAATGCATGCTGGATCATAGCTATATAGGGATACGAGTGAAGTGAGTGTCTGTGAGTGAGCTTTGAGTAATACGTGTGTTGTGTAAGGGAAGCGAGTTTATCCCGCGCCCTGCTGGGGGGGGGGGGGTGTTTGAACAGCCCCTTGTGGTTTTTCGCGAATATCTCAAAAACGGCGGCGCGGAGCCTCCGCCGCCGTTTTTGGTACACCTTATCATACATCAATTCTACTCATGTTGTGAAAATTTCAGACGAAGGTCAATCAAGGTCAGGTCACCAGGTCACTTGAAGTGACCTCACCTCATAAAAAGTTTCAATGTCTGCCATAGCTACACCGAGTGACCGATCTCTTTGAAACTTTCAGCGATTGATAAGGTAACAGTATCTATAAAAAAAAAAATTATCTCGGAATTTTGATATCGGTGACCTAAGGTCAGGTCAATTTTGCGACCTCTCCATTATTGGGAGAAAATTGAAATGCGCCTCTTTTGGACGAAAGACATTATAAACACTCCCAAACACTGAATTACAAGTGGTTTAGACACACTTAACATGAAAATGGTGTCCGTGACCCCTATTTATGCCCCTGAGGTTATCTCAGGTCACGAATGGTGTCTAACAGTTTTTCGCAAATAACTTTTGATGGAGGCATGCTAGAGCGGTGAAAATGCCTTAGATGTGCTCAGCTTGACGATACGGATCGACTGATATGCAACATGACCCTTTCCGGTCAGGTCATGACCTTGACCCGAGGTCAAATTTTCAAGTTGACCTTTCAAGGTCAAGTTATAGTTCATTCGATGCGTCTTGACGAGAGAAACACGATGCCGGTAAAAGTAAGCTCGTAAAAGGCTTGGGTCAAAAGTTATTGCAGAAAAACTGTTTCCGAAAAATCGGCTATTTTTGCAGTTTTTGCCCCCTGCAGGCAAAACCGTTGACGTTAGGTCAAATCTGAGAGTATTACACAGAAAGGGCGTTAAGAGGGTTATCGAATGCGCTTTTCCGCGGCGCTGTATCTTTATTGGTTCCCGAGTTATGCGTTGGCTTCCTGGAAATTGTCGACATTCGACCTGAAAATCGGCGAAATTTTGCCTTCAATGACCTCTGGTGACCTGACTTTTGACCTGACCAAAAAATTGACTGGAGTGATTTCGTCATTATTTTTGGCGCTCTTTCGAACGCCGCCTTCCGCGTATCGCTAAGTGGCCCAGGAGCCGAGTTAGAAGGGGGTGTTCAAACACCCCCCCCCCAGCAGGGCATGGAAATCCAGGACCCCCAGCCGGGCGCGGGTTAAGGTGAGCTTGAGGAAAGTTCAAGGTAAGTTGGAGGTGAGTTAGAGGCGAGTTGGAGGTGATTTGGAGGCGAATTGGGGGTGAGTTAGAGGCTGGTCGAAGCGAAGTGATTTGGAGGTGAATTGGAGGTGTTTTGGATTTGAGTTGGATGTGAGTTGAGGATGAGGGCAACAAGGAAGAGACGGTAACAACATTTGAAATATTCCAAATAAATTGTCTGGAGTGTTTTTCGGTAGAAGAAAGAGCAGCTCGACACGTATTAAGTTTCGCTTGTTATCATTTCGTACTGTTCTGTTCTTATTCTATATCCGCTTTATAAATTTACATTCCAAGTAAAATGAGATAGATTAATCAGGGATTTGTGTTACAGCGAATTCGATATCCTGAGATTATCAATAAGATCACCCGAAATAAGATCAACAATTTGCAATGATTCGTGTGGAATCACGCATCCTTATGTGAAATGGGTAATGAGTGAGTCCTCTTTCATTTACGAACACATGTATTTCGTTACCCATGTGATCCAGCATTGAATTCCAATGTTTAGCCACGAAAGTTAGCTTGATATCATGTGTTCTGTGCTTTAGGATTTCCATTGTAAACTTTAACGAGTTAGACGTCCGGAAAAGTGGCCAAATTGCACGGAATAAGCCACAGGGTAAAGGCCTGGCTACACTATGCGTTTTCTGCGTGCGTTTTTTGCGTGTTTGCGGGTTTTCGTAATATCGTTTTAGAAAAATAAACGACATTACGTTTTTGTGATTTTTTTATATTCAATTGTAGTTAATATAAGAGTTATATTAACTTCTGCATATAACTAATGTAAAAATTATATAACTGTTTACTTTTTTCTAGAACGATATTAGGCAAAAAACGCAAACCCGCAAAAAAACGCACGCAGAAAACGCATAGTGTAGCCAGGCCTTTAGACGATATAAGGACAATATCACCCACGAGGCTAATTAATTCAAACTAACTATACATATAGAGCAGTTCATTCATGAGTAGCTCAGTTGGTGGATTCAAACTCCCATGGCGAAAGTCCGTGTTTAAGCCACTCTGGCGTTTGATACATGAGTATTGACTATTGGTATTGAGTCTTGGTGGGAGCAGTCGTAATCAGTTGAAGACAGTAAGTGTGACAGGGGACATGCTAGACTTTGCTTTAAATTCAACCCAGAAGCCCGAAACTTTCCCAATCGGACGGTACTTTGTCAGTACTGGTAACAGGCCATGCGCTTGACGAGGTCTCCAGAATATAAAGCTATTACCTCGACACTTCTGTCGTTCAATTTTCAAAAGCGTCGTGCCTAATTGGTAAATGACATACGATTCTATATACATTCATATATTGTCAAATGGCATGTCTGCAAGTTGTTAGTTATTACAGCCAATGCTTTCACCGTGATGAAATATGGTTCGGCCAGCATACAGTAACTAAGCGCCAAATGCCGGAAGCGACTTATTAAGCTTTATTAGTGTGGGACATGCACATAAGCAGTAATCAAGCCCGGACATAGTTGTTTTGAAATGTCAGCAATTAGTCATTTTTGCCTAGGTAGCTTCACATGGCTCCTGGGTAAAATCAAGGGAAATTTTCTGATTAATAATGCATATCCTTAGCGCTAGGAAACAAATGCAGTGGATTACTAAAGTTCTTGATTTCGGTCATATGTAACATGGCACAATGTCGACACCTAAATAATTAGTTAATTAGTTAACAGCAAAGTGACATATAGGTTACGTATATGCAAATAGATACAAAGCTGAATACCAAATTTACAACAGAGCCATAAACGTGCACTTGAGAGCACTCGCGCTCATGCACACTGCGCGTAGTATGCGTTTGTGTGCACCACTGTCGACTACTCTCTTATTTTGAAAAGCCGTCGGGAATGTCTTCAATGCACGTCCCTTCTCATTCCAGATTTATCACAATGAAGCCGTCAAGACCCGACTGTGGGGTACTGCTGCTGCTGCTGCTGCTGCTGCTGCTGCCGCGGCCCGGGTCTACCGCCGTCGTGCTGCAGCTCTCGGCCAGCGGACACCGTTTCACCGGCTCACCGCTACGGACCGAGGTCGGCGGCTGGGTCACGCAGTGCGCCATCCGCTGCGCCCAGCTCGCCGCGTGCACCGCCATCCAGCCGGGCGGTGACCGGTGTCTGCTGCTGTCTGCGGCTCCCACCGCCGAACAGCTCACCGTCGCGCCCGGTACCGACATCTTCGTCAGCCGGCTGGAGCTGGGGGTGTCGACGGACGCCGCCGAACCGACCTCGGAGACAACCACCGACCTCACTGCAGCTGAGGCGGCCTCAACGACAGTCCCCACTACAACGACGGCAGTAGCTTCTACAACAACCACCACTACAACAGCGGCGACAACCACTACAACAGCGGCGACAACTACTACAACAGCCGCACCAACTACTACAACAGCCGCACCAACTACTACAACAGCTGCCACCACCACTACCACAGCAGCAGCTAGTACCACGTCAACCTTTGCCTCCACCACGACCAATGCCCCCACGACCACAGTCATTGTAGACCCAAGGGTGCCGCAACCTTGTCCCGCCGAGGGCGACCGCGTCGGCAACGGCTGCTACTTTGTCGATTCGGTGTCAAGCATCGTCACGGCTTCTTGGAGCCAAGATGATCAGCACTGCAAGTCCAACCACGGAGAGAAC